GGGGCAAGCTCAGGACAGACCAGCAGGGGGCAAACTCCCTAAAGAGGCAGAGAGAGGCACCATCTGGGGGAGGCCAAGTGGTGTTGGAGACCGCTAGCCACACAGGAGCAGCGGGATCAGGCACACCTCTGAGCGGATGGTGCCAGTCAGCCTCTAAGGACAAGAGTGAGGTGGACTATGGGCTTTTCGTGCTGGAAGCCATTCAGTTCCACAAAAACTCTGCCGGTGACATGAGCAGGGCTGAGTGCTGTCACTGAGCCCACCCCACCTTGTGACACAGAATTTATTCCTTCTGTTCCACTGCTCTCCTGATGTCTTGTCCATTTTCAATTCATTTCAACAGACAGGTGTTTATGTCTTACTGTGTACTCAGCTCTGTGGACAGAAAGGGAGTACAAGTCTCAGCTCTCAACAGATTTGCAGTGCCCTGGGGAGAGCGGGACATGGACAACAGCATGGCGAGGTGGGTTCTGTCTGGGGAGGGCATGTGGCAGCCAGAGGAAGGAGACCAGCCCCACACCCTGCTTGCTATTAATAAGCAACGTCAACCACCACAGAGGGGAGCTGGAGAGGGGTCTGAAGGAGAAGTTCGATGGCAGAAAAGAGGCAGGGAGCTCTCCAAGATGAGGCAGTGCATAGGAGTCTGGCAGCATGGGAGCAGCAGTGGCTCACAAGCAGGATGAGAGGAGGGAGGCAAGGCTGTCTTATTAGACGGGTTAGAGGGAGAAGGGCTGTGTGGGCAGAGTCTGATGCTGTACAGACAGGGCAGCCACTGATGGGATGGCATGCCTCTGCCAGCGGGGTCAGCCATCGGAGGAGGGAGCCTGGAAATCTGTCTGGACACTACAGACATAATTTGTTCCAGAGATGGTGAGCATGGGGCATGACTGGTCGGCTCAGGTCATGACCCCATCGGTCCCACATCAGGCTCCCTGCTCAGCGGGGAGTCTGCTTCTCCCTCTCCCTCTGCTGCCCCGCTATTTGTGCTCTCTCTTTCTCTCTGTTTTTTTTTTTTTAATATTTTTTTTTTTAAAAGATGATGAACGTGTAAAATGAGGCAGTGAGAGGAGGGAGGGCCGGAAAGGGGAATATTGAGAAATATTAGAAGACAAAAATCATGGGAGCTTGGGGAATGAAGGAACCATGAATGACGCCCAGAGATCAGGTGTCTGAGAGAGGAAAAGAAGGAGATCCAAAAAACTAGCATGAGGTAAGCTGAAGGAATGAAAGTTTTCAAGGAGGGCGTAGGCTTGAGAGTCACACACTGCACAGGCGGGCATTTCAGAGGCCAGTCCCCAGAACCCTGAAGAGGAAATGGGAAGCCACGAGGTAGCCAGTGCATGGAAATTGATGTCTGGCTGTGAAGGGAAGGAGAGAGTAGTGATTCAGAATTCAGAAACAGGCATAAAATCAGGCACCTGGATGGCTCAGTCAGTTAAGCGGCTCTTTCTGCTAGCTCCAATTGTGATCTCAGGGTCCTGGGATAGAGTCCCAAACCGGGCTCCCTGCTCAGCGGGGAGTCTGCTTTTCCCTCTCCTCACTCCCTCTCTCCCCCCATCTCCCCCTCCACCCTGCTGCCCTGTGCTCCCTAGCTAATGCTCTCTCTCTCTCAAATAAATAAATAAAATCTTTAAAAAAGAAAAAAAAAAAAAGGCACCTAGGTGACTCAGTGGGTTAAGACTCTGCCTTCAGGTCCGATCATGATCGCAGGGTCCTGAGATCAAGCCCTGCGGCAGACTCTCTGCTCAGTAGGGAACCCGCTTCCCCCTCTCTCTCTGCCTCTCTGCCTGCTTGTGATCTCTTGTCAAATAAATAAATAAAATCTTAAAAAAAAAAGAACATGAAATCAAGGGAAGATTTTTTTTTTTTCCTAACACCGAAGACCCTTGCGTGTACATGCCTGCATATGTGGGTGCATGTGTGGGCTAAAGGGAAAGAGACAAACACTGAAAACACAGAAGAGGGAGAAAGAACTTGATGGGAGAAGGTTCCAGAAAAACAGAGAAAGAAAGAGATGAAAACTGAAAAAGAGATTATTATTGGCGAAGTCTAGACCAAGGCAAGCATGGCCATGGCAGGCACAGGAATGTCCTCAGATGCCGTCAGGAGAACCCTAAATAGGACAGGTCCCCAGGAAGCACGCACTCAAGTGTGAAATGCACACATAGTCCTACCTCCCAAGTTGGGTCAATGTTCTGAATCTGTCTCCCACCTTCCCTCCATCCCTCCCTCTCTTTCTCTAGTGCCATCTCTAAAAAAGTCAACCCAACACATGTAGCCAGGGGGGGTCCAGCAGCATGGGCTTGGGAAAAAAGGACAATTCAGCTAACCACTCAACCTGCTCTCAGGATCATCGCTGTCACGGATGATAAAAAGACCTGCCCTTGCAGCAGTCACGTGAAGGATACGGATGTCTGCTAAGAAAGGTCTATGATCTTAATATAGGCTGTGTGCCTTGGTTATGGGACCTATAAGTGTTCTCATCGCCACAGTCCTATCTTCTTAATAGCAGTGAATTAAGGAACCAGACTTAATTATAGAAAGGTCTGAGATGAGGGTTTCTTTTTCTTTTTATTATTATTATGTTCAATTAGCCAGCATATAGTACATCATTAGTGGCTGATATAGTGTTCAACGATTCATTAGTTGTGTATAACACCCAGCTCTCATCACCAGACGTGCCCTCCTTAATACCCATCATCCGGTGACCCCATCCCCCCATCCTCCCTCCCTTCTGTAACCCTCAGTTTGGTTCCTGGAGTCCAGAGTCTGAGATGAAGTTTTCTTAAAGTCACCCTAAACTCTCAGTAGAGAGACTCGATTCCTAGAGGAATGAGGGCAAATTCCAAGTGCCGTCAGTTTTTAAGCACCTTCTGAAATCTCACTGTGCCAAGAGTTAATGGAAGTCAATAGCAGATTTTTCAAGACTGTTATCAATAAAGCCAGTGCTCAAATAAAAGCTGGTTAAATTGCGAGGCTGGAGCAGACACCAGCTTATCAGGAATTCATGTCATTTAGCTATGGTGTTAGCATTTGCTTCTGGTGCTAGGCTATAGCCTACTCAACAGAGCAGAGGAAGGAGAGAACAGGGAATGGGCCGCCAACTGAACGCCCAGTACCCACCCTCAGCCATGCTCCCCAAATCAGTAAGGTTTCTGTGAGCCTGGCTAGGAGAGCGGAAGAGGCCAGCCCTCCTTGGGACAAGGAAGGGGAGAAGATGCCGGTCTGCTTCATATAAAAGGAAGCCACACTCCCCCTACTCAGCCACCGCTCCAACCTCAGGCAGCTCAAATTACTGACCAATAGCCCACCCCACCGGGTTAGTCAGGGAGAGAACTGGGTCAGAGTCAGAACCTGGAGGGCCCAGACCTGCCTCCTTCCTGCCTCTGTGCAGGAGATGCATGTTTGTGGCGGCTGCAAAGGGACGATGCAATAAAAAATATCAAATACAACTCTTCCCCCAGCATGACTTGCTCTTTCCTAATATATAAGCTTTTAGTCAAAGGACATGACAATATCCTGAAAAAGGTATTCCAGATGATTCTAACCATCACTACTGAAATGACTGAGTCAGAAAGCTTATTTCTACTTAACAGTATTGTTTCCCATATTATAAACAGAAGCTCCTATTTTTATTTTTTGTTTGTTCTGTAGATAAAAATACTGGAGCCAGAGAGCCACAAAAAATATATATACTCATGGGGCGCCTGGGTGGCTCAGTGGGTTAAAGCCTCTGCCTTCAGCTCAGGTCATGATTCCGGGGTCCTGGGATCGAGCCCCGTATTGGGCTCTCTGCTCAGCAGGGAGTCTGCTTCCCTTCCTCTCTCTGCCTGCCTCTCTGCCTACTTGTGATCTCTGTCAAATAAATAAATAAAACCTTTAAAAAAAAAAGAAATACACACACACACACACACACACACACCCCCATTTACTGCAACTGGCCTTTCTGGATGGTCTGCCTCCTTAGGAAAGCATGGTTAAAGGACTTGCCTGGCTTTCTGCTGTTGTCTTTTCATTGTAATTCACTGAAATTGGAGTCCAGATTAGGAAATTACAAATTGACAACCAGGCCATGAGCTTTCCCCACTGAAATGGTCAGCATGCTCCAATGACCTCTCAGGGTCAGAGTTCAGAGTTCCCCCTGGTTTTGTTCCCTTGCAGACCTAAAGAATGCCTGCACCCCAAGTCATCCTCCCATCCCTACATTTTCTTCGCTCCTGCGCATGCCTAATTACTCCCTCTAGGTCCCTCTCTACTGGTCAGGGCACACTTGGGGATGGCAAGAACTCCCGGCGCTGCAGGAGTTTTTCCCTCCAGGAAAAATTGAAATGAGAGTGAACAGAAGGGAAAACATACTTTTCCCTATTGCAACACTACTTTGCCGAATGGCTGTTTTAATCTTCATTTAATCCCACGAATTCCCTATCTGCAGAAAAGAACACGTTATCCCAAAGTAATGTAGTTCCACCAAAGCAGAGCCTGCAGATTTCTGCAACTGCACTCTCTGGCTTAGAAATAGGTCTTCAGATGACCTGGAGAGAAGTTTCTGACACAAAACTTCCCCACCCCCACCCCACCCCTGGGCTTCCTTGTCTCACCACCCACTGCAGGGGAGGGAGAGAGGTTAAAAATCCCGAGATTCTTGTGGTCGGATACAGGCAGCCTCCGGACCCGTAAAAACTTGGGGCTCCCTGGATGACAGAAGCTTCCAGCCGCGTGGGTTCCCACAGAGCGGGCGCCCCGCCGAAAAGTGCACAAGAAAAGCTTTGCTCAGTTCACGCGGCACAGATGTGCCCAGCGCGCTCCGGGCAGCGGCGAGAGGTGGGCGCCAGAACCGCACGTCGAGGAAAGGCAGCAGCTCCCCCACCTTTTGAACACAGGGCTCAACTTGGGGACGAGGTTAGAGAAAAGGGAACGGGGCGCCAGGAACCCACGAAGGGGTGAGGATCGAGACCGGACTTCAGGGAAGGGTCCGCCCCAGCCGCGGGCGTGGCGCTCACCCGCGTTCCGCAGCTTGCGGTTCCTGAGCACCGAGAGGATGACCAGGAGGTTGCCCACGACGTCCCCCGCGGTGGTGACGATGAGCACCGCGGACAAAGTGGGCGCCACCCAGGGAGGACGAGCGGTCCCGGAGGGCCGCGCGCTGCCCTCCCCCGGCCAGCCCGGGAGCCGGGCCAGCTCGCCCGCCTCGCAGCAGTTGGAGAAAGAGCCGTTCTCCAGCATCTTGGACCGTCTGGCGCTGCGCGCCAGCCACCGCGCCACGCGCTGTCACCCACTGGAGGGAGAGCGATGTCGCGGCGGCGCCGGGAGTTCTTGCCACCCCCAAGTGTGCCCTGACCAGTAGGGAGGGGCCTAGAGGGAGTAATTAAGCATGGGCTCGGAGCGGAGAAAATGTAGGAATGGGAGGAGGACTTGGGGTGCAGGCATTGCCAAAAGGAGTGCGTCCCTCCCTCTCCTTACCTTGGGGGCCGGCTCAGGGGCACCTGAGTCCCAGAGCCCAGAACTGCTTGGCCCAGTTCTGGCCTCAATTCCTGAGCGCACCTCCACACTCAGATCCCAGATTCCCTCCTCCCCTCCACCCCCAAGAGAACCTGTACCCGGGAAAGGACAGCCAGATTTGTGGATTGGAGAAGGTGCTGGTGGTAGGGACCTGCCCTCCTGTTGTCCCAAGGGCAAGGTTTGAGGCCCCCACGGTGGTGGGGGAGGTTAGCTCCAAAGAGAACGCAGTCTCCAGGGTAAGGGGACAGATCCCAGGGCAAAGTGGGGTAGAGGGTAACATTCCAGGCAGCAGCAGGAGAAAAGCAAACCCCTGCTATTTATTGAGCACTTGTTTATCCTGGGAGACATTGATGATGACTCTGCCCTGTCCTCTTTATAAAGCCAAGACATCTATTAATATATGAACATCTATTTAAATATGACAATACTTAACTAGACGCATGGTCGATGCTGGGGGGTTATTATAATATGGTTTTGGACGGTTTTTGAACAAAGAGTGAAAAATGACTCCTGGAAAGAAGGAACTTAGATGCCCTTTATTTAAAACCTTTGAGCACTTTCTCTGATAACAGCAACAGCTTAACCTCTTCCAAGGGTGAATTTTACGCCAAGTGCTGTCAGTGACTTTCACATCACTGGAACCACTAAAATCAAAATGATGGGACAATTTTAAATGTGAGGAGGCCGCAAAGCATCTAGATACATTGCTTCCGTGAGTATGCAAAATGGCCCAGCCACTTGAAAGAGCTGGTTGGTAGTTTCTTGAAGAGTTAAACATACACCAACCTACAACCAGAAATGAGACAGAAATGAAACATATGCCCACAGAAAAGACTCGTGCGGGATGCCCAGGGCAGCCTTATGGGTAGTAGCCCAATCCGGGAAACAGCCCAAATATCCAGGAATAGGTAAACAAACTGTGATACACTCCTACAGGGAATACCACCTGACAATAACAACTGCTGAGCCGCACAACGAAAAATACTTCGTTGAACAAACGAAGCCAGACCCAAAAGAGTATATACCATACAATTCATTTATATGAAGTCAAAAAGTGGGAAAAAAAATTAATCTACGGTGATAGAAAATTAGAACAATGGTTGACCATGGGGATGAGGATGGACCCAGACAGAGCGCAAAATAAATTTCTGGGGTGTTATTTGCATGTTGTTTTATATAAGTATGATATGTGTATTTCATGTAAATCATACTCTCCCGCTTGTGTCTTATCCCAGCTCCCAAGAAACAAAAACAAAGGAAGAGTGCAGTAGAAAGGAGTGATGATTCCGGAGAAGGATGTAAGAGTTGGAGGACAGCCTCCCTGAGAAGTGAGCCCATCCCGAGCCCAGGGAAAGGACAGCAGGGAGAGGCTTCGTCCCTATGGTAAAAGGGAAGCAAAAGCCGGGGACAGATTCGAAGTGTTTCTAGACTGGGATGAACAAATGAGGGAGCTGCCTTGTGTCTGCTTGAATCTCAAGGAGTTTGAGGCTACCTCATTGGCCGGGACTGGGGGAAAGAATGTGGGAGTCTGAAGACAGGAGAAGGTACAATATGTCAATATGTCATTTCAGAAAATAGGTACACTGACTAGGATCGGAGACAGGTTTGTGAGGAGAGCGAGTACCCCTGAGCGGCTTCAGACATAGCTTTAAGGGAAGACAGTCAGCCTCATGGGGTGCTTGTTAATCAGCAACTTGGATCTGCTCAGGACAGGCACTGAGGAGGTAGGGGAAGGATCTTCAGGAGGATTGGGTTTGCTGGGGAGGAGTAAATAGCAGAAGGAAGTGCGATTCCTGATGGGAAGACGGATCCTGGGAGCTACAGTATATGAGGGATGCTGGGAAAACGAGAGCGGGCTGATGGGCCATGGCACAGAGATGGGATCAAGGGCTCAGAGGAGCTGAATTCAGAGACTTGTGGTGGGTGAATTTGAGCAAGTAGGCTGTACCATTGAGAGAGTGACTGCTTTGAAACTTGTTTTGAGATTTCTTAGGAGTGCAGCTTCTTTCTGTTGAAGGAAGGGATCTGAGTGGGATGACAGGATTGGGTGGCCAGAGGAAGGCGAGGGAACATTAGCTGGAAATGAGGAGGTCAAGGAACTGAGAAACCCAGGTACAGGTATTGTGGTGGTGAGAGAAAAGAGAAACTGAGTCAGGGGGTGAATCCCAGTGAGTGGAGAGGAATGACCAGCCAGTTGGTGAGAGAGATGCAGGCAAGAGGGGGAGGAGAGACCTCAGGATGGGGGGAAAATGTCACAGGCTGTTTTCAAAGAAGGGCAACCTTCCTTGTTCAGACAATGCAATATTATTCCTCCCTAAAAAGAAATGCTCCAAAAAAGCCGCAAAAAGATATAGAAGAACCTTAACTACATATTCCTAAGGGAAAAAAGTCAACCAAAAAAGCCTACATACAATATGATTCCAACCACACAACATTCTGGAAAAGGCGAAACTATGGAGACAGTAAAAAGATCAGTGGTTGCTGGAGATAAGGGGAGACAGACGAACAGGCAGAGCACTAAGGATAGTTAGGGCAGTGAAACAACTCTGTATGATAGTGTATGGTGAACTGGCGTCATTATACATTTGTTCAAAGTCATACAACACCAAGAGTGAACCCTAATGTAAACCATGGGCTTTGGGGGATGACAATGTGTCAATCAGTTTAAGCTCATCAATTGCAACAAATGTACCACTCTGCGGAGGAGGCGGATATTGACAATGGGGGAAGTCCCTGCATATACAGGCAACATATGGACACTCTTTGTACTTTCCCCTCAATTTTGCTCCGAACCTAAAACTCCTCTAAAAAATAGTCTATTTAAAAGGGGGAGAGGGGCGCCTGGGTGGCTCAGTGGGTTAAAGCCTCTGCTTTCGGCTCCAGTCATGATCTCAGGGTTCTGGGATCAAGCCCTGCATCACATCCCATTGGGCTCTCTGCTCACCAGGGAGCCTGCTTCCCCTTCTCTCTCTCTGCCTGCCTCTCTGCCTGCTTGTGATCTCTGTCTGTCAAATAAATAAATAAAATCTTTAAAAAAATAAAAAAGTTAAAAGGGGGAGGAAAGGGAAAGAAGGAGTGTTGTCAGGAACGGTGAAAATGCCCCCAAGGATCATACCACTTCAGCAAAAATAGAATCCACACCACTGAATAGCAGCAAGACCAACTAAAGTGAACCCAGAGAGAAAAATCCTGATGGTAAAGAGGTTGTAGCTAGGATACCCACGGCGATGGAGGGGGCTGCCCTGATTTAAGAGAGAGGGTATCACATTGCAGAAACTGAGAAGACTCCAGAAGGAGTGAACTCAGGGCAGAGAGGCTAGATGGGGCTGGAGAATTGGGCAGGAACTGGACCAGGTAAGCATCAAAGCCAGGAATCCAAGACTCTGGACTTTTCCCCTTGCAGAGGAGTCTGTTGAGGAGTGAAACATTTATCTACGCTCTGTCCTCCTTTGCAGGGGGCCCTTCCCAGGCAGAGCGGATGTCTGCCGCAGAACAGTTCCCACACCAACTCCTCCGAGGGTAGAAGAGCGGCGATTGCTTCAGCGTTCCATGATGATGGCCTCTAAGCGCGAGCAGATTCTTCTCACAATAGGGTGAAACCCACAGGAGCTGCCAACAGTGAAATGAAACTATATGGGAGGGAAAATTAAACCCTGGAGGAGGAAGGGGAGAGAAACAAAGGAGAGAGGTTCAAGATTCCTAGCTGGTTTCTCAACAAAATAAATCAACATGCTGAACACCTAAGGAGAGTTCTAGTGTTACAAAAATGAGCAGGACTGGTGTCCCTTACACCTGTCCCCAAGTCCAAATGCAAATCAAAATATGCTCGAAGCAGCCCAGCCTCCCGCAGCCCACCAATAATACCTTTCAATCTGGATAATACTTGAAACCCTTCCCAAACCACTTCACCCGCGGCCATCTCGTGTCCCCTTTCAACAGCTCAGTGAGACTGGGAGGAAGGTATGATGGGTCCAGCTGGAAAGAGAGGAACAGGCTCTCAGAGATAAGTCGCTTGCCAAGGCTGGTGGCCGATGAGCGGCCAAGATGAGTCTCTAAACCAGCTGTCTAACAGAATCCGTTTCTTTTACTGAATTATAATGGTTTTTCCTCCCTCAGTATGAAATATACAAAGACCGTAATCAAATTTTTCTGTAGGTCATCAGTTTGCCACAGGAGTAAAGCAACCACTTGCCCTTTTAATAATGCTATACATGCTATGATAGCAGCCACAGCTAATAGGGAGTGTTTGCCGGACACACGAGTCATATGGATTCCTCATTTAACTCTCACACCTCTATGAGATGGATACTTATCGTTATGTATGCACTATGAAGGAGCTGAGACTCAGAGAGGTTAAGCAACTGGCCTCACATTGCCCAGCTAGTGGATCTAAGAGTTAAAATTAGGATCAAGGCTGATTCCAACACCAGGTGCAGTCTTGCTATGGCATCAGGGAATATAAAAACCTCTGGACTGTTCTCCCCCTCAAGAGAAGGATGGGGAAGCTTGATGTCATTGGGCAGGTTGAACCTTGGGAGAGAACAGATCTGTTGGTTTTTAAAAAGATGGGTTTTATATAGATCACTTAGAAGATAAACCACTGTCTAGCATCGGGAAGCTGCCCCATCTTTTCCTGATGAAGAATGGTCTGGAAAGGAGATATTGTGCAACAAAAAAAGTATAAAATAAACAACAACAACAACAAAAACCATCCTCTGGGCAAT